GTTAAGTATTTTTGAGGTTTCTTCTGGGATGTTGTTAAGTTACTTAGAAACAGTTTGATCTTCTGGGCCATGATTTATGCTTTTTCAGACTGGGCCAGAGCACTGTTCAGTCTGGGGCTAATTAGTCCCCACTGAGGCAAAACTCTTCAAAGTGCTCTACCCAATTCTACATGAGTTAGAAATTACAAGGAGTTAGAAATTTCCAGTCTGAGCTGTAAGAAGAGGCAGTATTCTTGGTACTGTGTGAAAGTCAGGCACACTGTTCCTTCTAATCCTTTTGGTGATCCCTTTCCCAGCCTCAGGTGGCTTCCTCATAGGAATGAGCTCATCAGTAATCTGCTGAATACTCAAGGGGCCTTTCCACATACTCTGAGGCTCGATCTCCATGCAGCTCTCTCTTCTGCAGTACCTTGTCCTGTGAACTCTCTGCCTCTTTGGTTTCCCTGGACTCTAACAGCTCAACTCAGGGAGCTCTCAGGGTTCTATCTGGGCTCCCCTTCCCTGCACCATGGCTTGAAAACTCTCTTGAGGCAATTAGCTCAGGCAACTGAAGGGCTCTCTTCATTTGTTTCCCATCTTCTGGGAAACTGTCCATCAATTCTTGGTGTCCAGTGTCTTTTTTCCCCCCAGTTGTTTCAGGCAGGAGAGTAAATCTGGTTCCTGTTACTCCATCCTAGTTCCTAAATAGCATTTTTAACGTCTCTGTGTACATTCGTATCGGGGCACAAATATTATTATTATTACTACGACAAATGTGGTTGGTTTTAACTCTCTGTGCTCTCAAACTGTCATTTCTTTTCTGAGTATATATTTAATAAACGTTTGTCAAAGGTAATAGAGTAACAACTCTCTCTATTGTTGCTATTGTAAACTGTTGGGGAGGTAAAGGTGCTCAATGATACTGGCCTATTGTAATAATATGAGCTTATGAGTTCTTTTGAGGAAATTCAGTATATATCATAAAATAAGCATGTTAATTTAACAAAAAGGAAAAAGTGAGAGGAGTATGGAATCAGGAATCTAGTAGGTTAGGGCCTTTTATTGCAACAAAGATTCCATTCAGGTGCATTCATTACTGGAAGCTAAACCCATGGACTGGAGAGCGCAGGTCAGGACTGTAGACTACTTTCATTGCCACTATGGACAATCTTTGCGTGGGAGAAACTGATCATCCAACAGAGGGGTTTTCAGACCTGGGCCCTTTAGCAGCTGGGGCTGCACTGCCATCAGCTCTGTGCCCTGGAGGAGCCTCCATGTGTGGTTGTCAAGCAGCCCAGAGAGCCCCCTTGGGGAGCAGGGAAAGTGGGCCAGCCCACCAGCCAGCCTCTGTTTCGCTCCCTTGGCAAAAGGTGCAGAGGGCAGGCCTGCTCAGAGCCAGCTGGCTGCCTCCCACATGCAAGCCCAGCAAGTCAGACCCAAGTTCCTACTTTCCATTCTCTGTGGCTGCACATTCTCCAATGCAGCTTCTGGTGGAAGCAAATGCAGCTGGCACAAACAAACAGCCCCTCCATCCTGTTCTTGACATGTTGTTGCCAAAATTCAGTTCGAAGGAATAAAAGGCAAACATAAACCTCACTCCTGCTGGGGAAGTTGTTTAAGCTGAAAGAAACCAGAGGGAATGAGAGGCTCAACTGTTCTAATTTATTCATACATTTGTGCTGTCAAACTGCAGGAAAGCTCCCCCCTCGGAAAAAAGAAAAGCTCGTCAAGACATCTGTCAACTCGTTTCTGAAAAGTCAGCTTCCACGACTGGGGAGTCTGAAAAAGGGGAGATGTCAAGGGCACGGAATTTACCCACGTCTTTTCTATAACCTGGACGCTGGCTAGGTGGGTGGGCTGGTAATAGAGGAGCCTGTGGTGTGCTGAGGCTCAATTCACATCCATCCAGAACAGGGGTTTGTCATCTCATTGATGTCCTGGCCTCCTCTGCCAGGCTGGTAAAATATATGGAAACTTCTGAGAGCAGTGCTTATTTATAATTCATAAAATAAAATATATGAGATTGTAAAGAAAACTAACTAAACCAAAATATAGTTATCACAATAATAAAAAATTTAAAATACAGTAACAAATGTGCTTCTTTATGAACACATTAAATGACAAGATCTAGTGGTAGATCTAAAAACTACCTTCACTTCAAAGTAGTAATGAGTGTCCATGACATTTCAAGATATCTACAGAGTAATGAGAAAGCACATGATTTCTTTTGGTGACTACGTCATAGGTACTTTGTCTCCTACATTCATAACTGAAGGGAACACCAAATTTCAGCTGGTGGTTAATGAAAAAAAAAAGCAACGTTTTTTTTTCATCCAAGTTTACAGACTCTCCTGAATTCTCTCTGTGGATCACAGAACTCCTAGATTGAGAAGACCGTTCTTTTTCTGGGCTGTCAGGAAAGAGCACTGTACTAACGAAAGGGCTGGATCCCCATCCTGGCTGTACTTCTAACTCATCCTTGTAATTCCTAAGCTGAAGAATGTGTACTGTCTTGCCCAGAGGCCTTTGCCCAGGCGGTTCTCAACCTGCAATGTCTTCCTGCAAAGGCTGGGGTGGGGTGGGGTGGGCGGGTCCTCTGAGGTTCAAAGCACTCTGCTTACTACTGTTACTGGACTTCTCAACTGTGGTATAATGACCTCCTTATGCCATCTGTCCCACCCCTTGCAACAAGAATGGCTCATTTATCACTGTATTCCTGGTGTCAAGTACAGGTCTTGGTACACGGAAGACCATCATTAATATATTTACTGACTGGGCAGATGAATAGATGGATAAAAGCTGTAACCACACCCAGTTTCTCTCCCTCATTGTAAAAATATTCCTTATTTTATACCAGCAGTTCTAAACTCTGGTTATAAGTGAGAATCGCTTTTAAAGATTTTAGAAACACTGAGACCTAGGCTGCAACCCCAGAGACGAGATTCCAGTGGCTTGGGGTGGGGTCCTGGCCTTGTATTATTTTAAAACCACCCCAGACACCGCCACAACTGATTGTCCACAATACCAATGAACAGCAGCTGAGGTGAGAGTATAAAGCTCCTAGATGAACTTTTTTCCTAGACCCAGAAACATGATATTAGTGCAGAATTCTGAACTCTGCAAGGGGCTAAACACATAAATTGAGTTTCTGACCCTCAGAGTCAGGTCACAGTTCTGAATTCAGAAACATCAGTAATATTTGAACTCTATTCTCACACACAGATGAAAAAAATCTCAGGCTTGACAGTGAAGACCACGAAACAAATTGCAAACCCCACAGGCAGGCACACCGAGGCCCCTTGTTCCCCCGCCCCTTAAATCAAGAAATCCTTTTGACTAGGGCCCGCTCCTGGGCAAGCAGCGCACCTTGGGGCTGTGTGGGCTCCTCGTGCACAGAGTGGAGACGACGAGCACTGCCGACTCGAAGCACTGTTGCGGGAACTGACAGATGCGATGGGGCCGAAAGCATTTTGCGAGTCGCCAAAAATTCTACCAAGACTATCTTGATTATTGCATTCTACCAACTGAGTTCTTCAGGTGGAAAGACCTTATGGCTCAGTGATTAGGAATACAGATTCTAGGGTCAGAATCCCTGCATTCAAATTCTGGTGCCACCTCTTACCAGCTGTGTCATCTTGTGCAAATTATTAAACCTTTTTGTGTCCCAATTCCCCATCTATAAAATGGTGATAATAAAGGGACCTGCCTCACTTAGTTTGGCTGAGTTAATGCATTTAAAGAGCCCAGAATTCTAAAATGTAAGTGTGCACTGGAATCATCTAGAGGGCTCGTTAAACACCGAGCGCTGGGCTCCCCTAGAGCTTATGACACAGTTGACCTGGGCTGGGATGTGAGAATGTGCACACCTACCAAGCTCCTGGGTGATGCTGAGGTCACCACACTTTGAGAACCACTGATTTAGAACAATGCCTGGCATATAATAAGCACTTAATAAGTGTTAGCTCTTATCATCTTTTCCTGGACTCTGCTTTTTAGTCGTTGAACAGGACACTTTATCCTCCAAGGCTACTCAGGACTGTGTGTAAAAGCCATTTTGAGATCTTCTACTTGCAGTAGTTCCCCAAGTGTGGACCGGAGACAAGCCGCACAAGCACCATGTAGATGCTTATTGGTAATGCAAGCTCTTAGTACCTAACCAAGACCTACTGAATCAGGAATTATGGGGGTGAAGCTCAATATACTGTGTTCCGACAGTCCTTCAGATGATTCTAATGCACATCAGCTTTAAGAACAATTGCTCTACTGGAAAATCGCCACGACCACCATAATAACTCTACTGAAAACGTCCAGGAGGCAGGATGGCTTCAGGTCCAGAGTATAGTTTTTGGTTGATCTGGAGCCTAAGACCTGGCTCAGCTCTTTAGTCACTTTGTGGCCTTATGTGAGTTATGACACTCCTTTAACCCTCAGTTTCCTCATCTGTAAAATGGGCATCATTTAGGAACCCACCTCACAGGAACCTAAGATGATGCAAACGAAGTGCCTGGCATATGCTACCAGTTCAAAGAATGTTAGCTGCCACTGTTATTTTTATAATTGTTACAGTATGTCATCTCTCAAATGATTTGAGATAGCCTATAACAAAAGACATAAATATACAGATACACGAGATAGGTAAAATAAAGATTAAAAAGAAATTAAAATGTCACACATGAAAAGTGGAGACAGTGAGTGTTGAAACTATCACTGCAATTGTGTTCTTAATTGAGGTCTGAACTTCCCCATGGGCCAGGGCAGAAAGGAAACGCAGAGGTTCCATGTTCCCACTACCTGAACAGTGGAAGGAGACCATATCTTTTGGGGAGACATAATCGTCCCTCTGCCACACCAACTCTGTACTCTAGGAGCATCTGATCACATGAACCTCTGCACAAAGGCCCTCGGTAACAGGAAGGGCTCTCTTCCAGCAGCGCTTCATGTACCTGTTTCTTTAATTAATTCTTGATAAGAGCCAAGAGCAAAATCCTTACATCCCAGAAGATGAGAGATGTTATACTTACTTTGGGTGCCGAATATCAGGGAGAGAGCGATTCAGGGCAATTTTATCACTGACGTAGATGTTAAATCCATTTTCTCGGTATGCCTGATCCACTCTCTCAGCATCAGTCATGGGGTAAGGTCTGCCCTGTTCTCCATTTCCTAGGGGCAAAGAGCAATGTCAATGTTACTAATTGAATAGAGTCAAGGAAGAAGAATAAAAAATATGATTCAACCATGAAGACAAAATTTTATGCTGGATATAAAGGAAACATCTAGATTTTGCAGGGGAAAGTGTACAGAGGGGAGGGAAATGAGCATTTACTCAGTCACAGGAGTCACACTTCATAGACCCTGTTCTCATATAATGTCCACAGCAAGTCTGCAGGGTGAACGTGAGAGCACTCAACCAACATGTGGATAAACGGGGACTCAGAAAGGTTAGAGGACCAGGACTGCGAGTTCCAAAGCCTATGTTCCCTCTGCTCTGCCAGGCGCCCCACACATCCCTGACTGGGGAGTCCAATCACCTGGATAGGAGGCCAGGTTTAACACATATAAGCTGATCAACCTTGACCCCTTCACACTACCTCTCTGAACTGTAGCTGGCTCCCTTCTGGTACCCACAGTGCATTGAGAGAGTCAAATGAGATGCTGTGTACACGAAAGCTTTTTGTAAACTATAAGACACTACAGAAATATTATGATTACTCTCTAGGCAGGGTAAACTTTATATGTAAATCAAAATCACCACAAATTATAAAAGATACTTTGATTTTTTTTTTTTAAGCTAGCAAACAAACTAAGATCTGCCTAGGCTACGCCAGGATTGCCTGAAAAGTGTTGCTTTGAGTCACAGATTGGGTGGACAAAGTGCTATTCTTTCCTCTCTCTGCACTATCCATCTGAGGAAAGAGTTCCTGATGCTCCAAGAAATTATTATCTGGGTTCCCAGGGTGCAGATGGTGAGTGGAAATGTCCACGCCAACCCCTGCAATAGCCCAAGAATCTGCCATTGGCGAGGGTCTTGAAGAAATGGCAATAAAATCAGTTGGTTAGAAATCGCTTCATCTTCTGAAACTTGTGGTCTGAGCAACATCCCATTTAGTTTGCAAAGTAAATGCTGACAACTTCAGCTTAAAGGGAAGGTGAAGCTAAGAGGTGAAGCCCAAGAAGGGCTGTTGGCTACTCCAGTCGGGCCAGATGAGGACAAGGACTCCGCTATCTGTAACGTTCCATGATAAAACACTTCCGGCTTGTGCCCAGGGCAGATTCCGCAAGGAACACAAATGCAGCAAGCAGACAAAGAAGAGCAGAAGCATCTCGGGGAGGGAAGCTTCAGGAAGGCAGGACAGGGGAGTGATTCAAAGTTTAGGCTCTGGAGCTGGGCAGAGTGGAGTCTGCAGCCCGGCCCTGCCACTCCCCAGCCAGGTCATATCAGGCATGCCTTCACCCTGTCTGTGTCTTGGTTTTTGCCCTTCGTATTAATTGGGATAAGAAAGTTCAGTGTGATGATTAAGGAGGCAAGGCAAGGTACATGGTACATAGTTAGCACTGGACATTATTATTCTGAATAATTTCTCCATTGATTACTCTTTTCTTGCTAGTGAGCCCAATGATCTAACAATTCTGGTATAACTGTCTGGCAAATCAGCTCTTTTCAAATGTTTCCTTTCTTATTTTAAACAGTACCCCCCCCCGCCACCCCCACCACCAAGCCTTCATTTTAAATCACTAGCATACAGAAAAATGCATGTCATATCTTTAGATTTCCCTGAACTTTAGTTATCATTTCAGCTCTATTCAGAGCCTTACTGTAATGTTTTTGTCATAATGTAATTTTAAAAAAATCAATAGTGGTCGGTGCCTTTAACTGAGATAAAAATGAATAAAATACCAATCCTTTACATTTTTACACTGCTTTCCAGTGTAAAGCTACTTCATATAAACACTCTGAGGTTATCAAAACAAGAAGCATGAGCCCCACTGATGGATGGGGAAACTGAGGCTCGAGTGTGGAATTCATCTAACGGTCACATGGCTGATAAGCGGTGTCAAAGCTGCTCTCTTGACTCCTAGTCTGGGCTCTCTGGAAATGACTCTCCACATAATTTCTGTACTGTGCCACTCCGACCCTGCCCAGTTGCCCAGTGTTAATGGGAATTGCTCCAAAGACTAAGAAGCCAAAGAAAACTTTAGCCAAAACCTACTAAATTCAGTCGGCTTCATGGCTATAGTGTTGGGTAGGGATCAACTCTGCCCTTCAGACCTCGGTTCAAACCCTAAGCCTTTCTCGTTCTCCCTGTGTGACTGTGGGCAGATTATTCCCCCTCTCTGAGCTACAAGTCCCTTCTCACCAAATAAGCCATACTGATTTGGTGATTCACCAAGAAAATGTGCCAAGTGTGGGCCTTGTTCACTACGTGGATTCAAGAAATGTTGGCTCTTATTATTACTGCTTCTCATTTTAGTGGTAAAATAGCTCATAAAGGGAGACATCTTCTGTTGCCCAGTAAAGGCGGCTGGGCAAATTCCTCATGGCAATGGATCTGGTGATGTGAGCGGAGAAAAGAAGGGGTCAGCTCACAGGTGAGGGGAAAGGGATGGTCCAGACACCTCGTTAAACACACACACACACACACACACACATTCATGCACACACACACATGCACATTCTCTCCACGGGACCCTTCTATGGGACGATCCATTCTCCGTACCTACACGTTGCGCATCCCTCCTGATGGCTTCTTTGTCGTGCCAGTCCTTCAGCTTTTGTCCATCTCCCAAGAAAAATACTTTCTTTTGCTGACTGTGTGATCCCTTAAAAAAAAAAAGACAAATACTGTGAAAAAGAAAAAAACTTATATTAAACATGAGTTTAACAACAGAGACCTAGAAATTACACTGCCTAAGGGAGCTTTTGGTTGAATGTCTGTCATCATTTGTTCTTGCAATGTCTGACAGACATTGATTAAATGTCTGTCGTCATTTATTCGTTTATTAATTCCCTCAGTATACTTCTGTTAGTGCCTGCCATGTACCAGCCTGGTGTGCAAAGCTCAGACGATGGCACACAGTCCACCGTCTTGGAACACAAAAGCCAGGAGAAAGAAATGGACAGGCATTCTTTTCACCCATGAGAAAAACCAGTAAGTGCAGTGCTGTCCAACAGAAATCTAATAATGGGAGCCACAAATGTGAGCCACATATGTAACTTTAAATTTTCTGGTATTCACATTGGGAATAAAAAGAAACAGGTGAAGTTAGTTTTGATAATATATTTTATTTAACCCAATATACTCTATGTATTATTTCACCACGTAATATAAAAAATCATTAAGATATTTGATTTTATTTTTTGTACTAAGTCTTCGAAATCCCGTGTGTACTTTATGCTTGTGTTGATCTCAATTCAGACCTTTTCAAGTGCTCATGTGGCTGGTGGCTACATACTGGACGGGGCAGGGTAAAGGACCCTTAGATGAAAGGCCCACAGAAAGTACTACAGGAGTTCATGTTCACCTGGGAGAACTGGAGAAAGTTTCACAAACATGCAGGCATTTGGGGTGCGCTTTGGATAAGCAGCAATGAGTGGTGGGCAGGGTAGATGGCCTGGGCAGGGGTGTGACAGAGTGGAGGAGCTGAGCTTGGCTCAAGAACACTGAGCACAGGAGTGGAAATCATCTCTACAGTCCCAAAGAGGGCAAATATTTGGTAATTTTGTGTGGAATGTATGAACAAGCAATTAGATGGCTGAAAGAAAACAGGACTATGCAGTAGTCCCAAGGGGCTCTGCTCTGAAGGCGTTTATTATGTGTCTGGGGAGATGACCCCACTGTGGTGGACCCGTTAGAAATGGTTTCCCTAATTAAGAGGATGCATTCCAGTGTCTTGGGTCATCCGAAGGTGCCACATGCTTTCCCATGCCATGGTCAAGTCTAAAGACTTGGCTCCGGGGCTCAGTTAGAATCTTCCCAAGGTAACATGGCACTATACGATCTTCCGTGTTCCCGTAGATGAGAATGGCTTCCCACATAACCTTGCCCATTAAAAACCCTGCAGACTTGTTCTTGCTGTTGTGGTTTGCAGAATCCCACAGTCCTATTTCCTATGTAATTAACTACAAAGGCCCCGAGTGTGTGGTGTGGTGGAACATTAGCACTAACAAGAAGCCACCAGAATAAAACCATCCACATGCCTATTTATTAAGTCTCTGGCCGATTCTTGAGTTAGCAGGTTTTCCACAACAGCTCAATATCCTTACAACAGCTCTAATGATAATAAGGACCCTTTGTGCTCCCTCTCCTACAGACCTCTCCGAGTTGCAAGAAGAAAATTCTGAAAGTGGGCATGCCAGATGTCTTGGTCACAGAGGGAAAGAAAACTGAAAAGAAAGGCTATGTGCCCGCAAACATTTTTGGGGGTTCTTAGAGATCACAGAAGCTAGGCCAGAAGTTCCTTTGGCGGACTTCAACTGTGTTGAGCTACATTTCTACAGGAGACACTGCAGTGCTGCCTGCAGAAGGGTGAGGCTCAGAGTAGGAGCATGATCCCCGTTCAATCAGACCAGCAATGACTCTGTCTGTTTTCTGTACTGGCGTTCCATATGGGATTTGATTATAAAAAGGTCCTCTGCCAAAGACAAATTGACAACCAAATCTCCAAACGAGAGAAGAAAAAAACTTGGAAATAGAGCAAGGGCTATTCCTTGTATTTCACAGACAGGGAAACTGAGCCTTGGGGTGGGTCAGGCACCTGCCCCAGGAAAATACTTTACGTCTAGATGTCAGGGCTGATTGATCATGAGCTGTTTAGTCATCTTTTCTCCAGCCCTCTCTCCCAAGTCTTTTCCCTTTTTCTGCTACCCAAGGATTGGGAGCTTTGGTTGGTTACCTTAGGACATTGGTGAACCAAAGAGCCTCTGCCAACGGAGGCTGCCTTAATGGAAGGCACCGATCTATAGTGGTTCTCAGGGTGTGATCCCTGAAACAGCAAAACCTCCACCACCTGGGAACCTGTTAGAAATGCTAGACCTCCCACAGCAGAAAGTGGGAGGTGGGGCCCGGTGACTGCGTTTTAACAAGTTGTCCAATAGAGTCTGAGGCACACTCAAGTTTGAGAACTACTGGTCTAGGATGAAGGAGGCCATAACCCTGCCTGCTCTGTGTGGGTCAGACCAAACCTGGGCAATTCTATCCAAAGTGAGCAGATATTTATCATCACAGGTCACAAAAACCTTAGGCCTGGTCACTGGTAAACACAACCTGGTGGCTTTTGTTTTGTTTTGTTCTCTCCCCACCCCCACCACCCAATTGCCAGATTGAAAAAAATAAGGAGAGTTTCTACTGTTTTATCTAGATTTTTGGCTTCTCTGGAAAACTCAAAAGGCATGTCAGTGCTCAGACTGAGCTCCCTCAGCCCGTAGGCTGGGCTGAGCAATAACAGTTGCCCTGCTCAGACTGAGCATGTTGTACCAGTTTGCCACAGTCCCAACCATTCCCTATGGCATGTCACCTGACTTTTACCTCTCATTCGTGACTTGGCTGACTCCAGTGAGTTTACAATGTGCTGCAATACACAGGATGAGGAAGCTGGAAGAGATTAGATTATCTCCACAAAGCTGATCAGTTCTTCCGGGATGACGAAGGTCAGATGCTATGCTGTATGAGGACTAGGAGAAGAGAAGCCCTGAGGGACACAGAAGCAGTTATCTTGCTCTGTGAGGTCCTAAGGCTAGAGCAAGGGCTAATGGCAGAAGTTACTGAATGACTGAGGGGCTAGCTTAAGATAGAGAAGAAGTTCCAAGAGTTAGACTGGTGCTAGGACGAAGCAGGACCACTTGGAAGATGTTAGAGGAGGCCAGGAATAGGATGCTCAACTGTTTATCAAGATGTGAAGGACAAGCATCAAGGGTTGGGTTGGGGCTGGTGCTTCTCAAATCATATGGTCAGTGGAATAACATGAGGATCTTGTTAAATGCAGATTCTGCATTTCTAATAAGCTCTCAGGTGATACTAATGCCACTGGTCCACAAATCACACTTTGAATAGCAAAGGTTAGGTGAACTTTAAAGGACGTTTCAAGTGTCTAGGATTCCATGAAGAACACTTTCCTCTATATACTTGCAGAAGTCTAGGGTATAAGACTGAATTTCACAGTTATGACCTCATAGAAGTAAACTCTTTGCATCTTCTTCTCAAGATGATAGTAAATCACAGAACTGACAAGGTGAAGAGTTAAGGTTCCAAAATTCTGGGAATCTCACATCCATGCTTCTGCCACCTCCACTGCCTTTCCCTTAATGATACATGTCCCTCTGGAATGAGCTATGGAGATGATGACCTGTGCTGTTTTAGGTGGTCTCATCAGTCCTTACATCTTTCCTAAACTAAGAAGACTTCAGAGCTTGCTGACTACATGTAACTACATGCAGAGAGTTCTGCATGTCTGCACATGTAGTTACTAGCGGGTCCTAGAATATCCAAGCTAAGCAACTGCTCACAGATAATCAGGCCACCCTTCCCCATCTTACATATGGAGAAACTGAGGCTCAAATAGGCCAAGCTACTCAACCAAGGCCACACAAACAGGCAAGAGGATAAGAGCCATGTTTCTTGACTCTCAGGCTAGTTTTGGGTAGAGGAAGCCCTCGCAATTGACCTTAGACAAGCTATAAGAGGCAAGCTTATTAGAAATGCGGAATCTCAGACCCCACTGAGCCACTGAATCAGTATTCCTACCTAGAAAATGAAGATTGCACTACCTGCCCAAAAGGTACTTTCAGATGAGCCTGAATATCCTGTATATCCAGTGTATATCCTAATGCTTTCAGAATTTACACATAGAATATGGATATCAACTGCTTTAGGATTTTAAGACTCTACTGTAAATTGACATCTCACCAAATCGCATTGATATAGGACTCATTTAACATTAAAAATATTTCCAAAAATAGGTCTGAGCTTTTGGAAGGAGAAAAAAACTGGTTTCCATCCTAAAATCACAGAGCATTCAGAGCCCAAAGGGCTCTTAGAATCCTATCCACAAACCTTAACAAAAATTGTGGTCAGTTTCAGGTGGTTCATGAGTGTCTGAGGTCCATCCATGGAAACCCCATAGACGGGTCATTCAAATCATCACCAAAAGTTTATCGAGACCTACTCTATACCAAGCACTGTGCTAGGCACTGGGGACACAGGAGTGACAAGACAGATCCTGTGTCGGCACTAATGGAGTTTACAGCCAGATTGGTCTCTCTCAAAGGGCGATTGAGGTCTGGACCTTGACTACAGATATAAACTCCTGGACCCCACTCTGAGCCTATTAAAAA